ACGACGACGACGACGACGACGACGACGACAACGACGACGACGACGACGACGAGCGCCCCCCGCGGGCGGCGCCCCCCCCCCCACAGCGCGGCCTCGAGCACGAACGCCCTGCACCCAGGGGGGGGGGCCGGTGGCCGCGGGCCGGCGGCTTGGGAGCGGCGCGCGGGCTCCGAGGGGGGGGGGGCCAGAGAGGAGGAAGAGGAGGAGAAGGAGGAGGAGGAGGAGGGGCAGGAAGACGAGGAGGAAGAGGAAGAGGAGGAAAAGGAGGAAAAAGATGTGGAGGAAGAACAAAAGGAGGGGAAGGAGGAAACGGAGGAGCAGTAGGAGGAAAAGTGGATGTGGGGGAGAGGCGGAGAAGGAAGAGGAGAAGGAGGACCAGTGTCAACCAAAGGATCATCAACGATGTTGGAACAAACCGTCCCGCCAAGCTCCCTCTTCATAGGCCTCATACAAGGACTCATGTCAACTGAGTGAGCTGCCTCGTTGCAAGACAACCCTTTGAAGACCATGCATCATGCTAAGACATTATTTTCGGGACTGCGTCGCCCTGGATGAACCTGACTGTTGCGTCTTGGCGAACCTGAATAATGTCAGAACGCCAATCCTGGGATTTCAACACCGCAAATCAAAATAGCTGTTGCACCCTCGTACTCCAGAATCTTTCCAAAACACAATTTCTGGCGCGCTCTGGCCATGGGAATCCGTGGAGCTCTCGCAATTTCAAAGAAAGGATGCGCGCGGCGCTGAGGCGATATCCACATATTATGGTATGCCTCCCTTCCATCCTTTATTCCTTCATGCCTTCCTTCCTCCTCCTCGTTTCTTTTCCCCCTGCAGTTCCTATGGGCAACGTTCCTGCGAATGCATCACCACATGCCACCCGCGGCTGTAACAATGCGTCGATGAACGCTGTGCGGTCCTACGAAATAGATATGCGCGTTCCTATTCTGCGTTTCGGCATTCGGCGGAAAAGGGGGGGAGGGGGGGTCTGGCTCCAACCCTCTGCTTAATGCGACTGTTTGCAAGAGAATTGTTGCGTGTGGGGGGGAACCCCACCCGCTCGAAACAGGCGCCCAACAAAAACAGCCAAGATCTACTCCATCAGGGGATGACGGGGGTGTGCGGGGGCCCGCGCCGATCGGCAAAACCACGTTTTAAAAACGATCACTTACGAAATAATGCGAGACTGATTTTGTACCATTCCGGGTAACGGCTGTTGCCCTGGGGGGGCCGGCGGGTCACGGTAACGGCGGCCGCGGCGTGCGCCCGCCAGGGTGCGTCCGCGCCATCGGCACAGAAATTGCCTGCGCGCGCTGCAATCCGTGCGCAGCTGCGTGCACAACGCCACCACGTCGCCCATGTACGCCGCAATATCTGCGCATACGCGTGCGCACCAACGCTTGTGTACACCCCATTGCCTGCGCGCACCAGAGCGTCCGTGTACGCCGCAGCGCCTGCGTGCACCACAGCAGCCATGTGCACCACAGCGCTTGCGCACGCCACAATGCTTCCGTGCACCACGACGCCTGTCTACAACAAAACGTGCCAACGAGCACACCAGTAGCTTGCGAAGCCTCTTTTGTTTGCGGGGCCCGCCGCACACCGCGGAAGCCCTGATCACGTCGCCCGTGTACACCGCAGTGTTTTTGTATAGTGCAAAAACCGTGTGTGCCACAACGCCTGTTTGCACCACATTGTCTCCTCCTCTTCCTCCTCCTGCGTCTGGTCTTCCTCCCCGTCCCCCTCCTCCTCCTCCCATGCCGCTTTGCGGGGCTCGCCGCGGACTCAACATGCCCTCGGGGCTCGTCCTTGAAGCTCTCGCGGGGGAGGCCTCAACGATGGCCGCGGCCTTCGTGCTGAGGGAACGACCGTTGCTCCACCCATACATGGCTGCGAAATCCCCTGGCAGCATTGCTCCCGAAGTTCCACCAGGAAAAAGAGCAGGGGAAGAGAACATAGGGATGTAGTTGTATAAACCACACTAGTCTGCGCACTGTAATAGCCTGCAGGCGCCACAGCAGGTAGGTGAGCACCGAAACATGCTAAAACCACCACGTCATGCCTGCGACTTCGGCGCCGCAACAGGTGGGGAACCTGCGAACGCCACAACACGTTTGTGAGCACCACACATGCCTTTCAGCACCACGCCGTGCCTGTGAGCACAGCACCATACCTGCTGAGAGGAGGGGAGTCCGCCCTCCACCCCCGAAAAACCTGTGATCGTTAGCGGTGCCTAGAGAGGGGTTGGGCCCGGGTAACAAGCGTTACCCGCCAGAGGAAAAAAACACGCACACTACTTGCGCAGTTGTCACTTCTTCGACGAGTTCCGTACGCCTTCTCGCTCGCCCCCCCCATGCGCGCCGCCAACGACATCTGCCCGTCCCCCCCAAGGCCGCGCGCGGCCACAGGGGGCCATCCGCTCCCGGCCCCGCCCAGGGGGCCTGTCCGACCGCAGCCCCGCCCCAGCGTGGCGGAGTGCGCCCCAGTCGCGCGCCACGGC